CTATCAGCTTATTTGGCAAAAGGAATCTGAGACATTTTAAATATGAACTGTCGGCAGGGCCCATCCCATCCCACTCCCCTTTTGCCCCACCAAGAATCACCTTCACTGGTGTGTGACACAAAGTGTAGAAAATGGACACAAACTGTCTTATATAAGCTGGTAGCGCTTTAGAGCCTGGAGAATTCACCTTGGAGGGTCTTTGCTGTTCTCCTGATGCTTCTGTGAGTGAAACTCCCATAGTAGCAAGTGTTTTGCAAACGCCTTGGACAGTCTGGCTCCAAATCCCCTCCCCTTCCCTCTCCTGATCTCTCAACTGAATGTTCCATTCCTTGTACTCCGGGCTAAGAAGAAAACATGCATGCAACCCCTCCTTACTTTCAAATGCCAAATCAGGCTCTTTCTTACCTCCACATGTTTTTCTTGCAAAACCTTCTGCTTCCTTCTCTGCCTGGCAATCTCCTATGCATCCTTAATCCCCAGGTCCTGCAGGACCTCCTAGGTGCACCCTTCCCTGTGTGCTGCTCTGTTCTCAGTGTTTCCAGAGTACAAGGGGTATCTCTCTATGATAATGTTTAAATAGTTATGGCTAGAAAATATCTGTCTGGCCACCAGGTCTCCCTGTCCTCACAAACTCCTGGGAGTCAAGGGATTGGTTCTTACTCACTTTTGCATCCCAAGGAGCAAGCCGTGGGCCTGGCACTGGGAAGTCCCATTATGGATGCTGGGCCATCACCTCCTTCTTCCCCTGTCTTTAATTGATCTTTACCCCACCACATACCATAAAACAGGATGGTGCTAACTCAACACTGTCAAGGTCAAAGTACAGACTCCTCACTTGCTACACCCAAGTTTTATTGGGCCTGATAAACAGCAAGGTGTGGGCCCTGCTAACACCTTAGCCATCCTGTTCAGGGTCAGAGAGACAAGTGGAAGGCAGTGTACCTGATATCAGGAGGCAGTGTCACCTGGGGAAGGCGCCATATGCTGGCAATCAGACTTGGCTTCCATCTCCCTCCAGTCGTAAATGGCCTGCTTTATGGGTCGGTTTAAATCACTCCTCTGGACCTCAGATGCTCAACATACAAACATGAAGACGGGACAAGGCCCTCTATCATTTCTTTCCAGATTCAGTATTCTCCAACTGTCCATCTCAGTGATGGACCCACTTTCCCTGGCCCCTCTCCTTTCTATCTCTCACTGAGCAGCCTTCTACCAATGCTCCTTCCTTTATTGCTCCAGAGTCTCTGGCCACCCCTGACCATGCCACATGGGGCCATATTCTTAAGACTATATTCACTACCCTCTGGTCAATAGAGCCTAGGAACTTTGGGGCACCAAGAACTTGGGTATCCCAACACCCCATAATCCCATTGCCTTTTAGATCGATCCAGCTCTCCTCTTTAGGTCTCCAACACTCTTACACAATCAGATGTGTTCCGGTGCTGCTTGGCGGGAGTCGAGGTCACCAATAGGCTGTTGTTACCTGTGCGTGGTGGGGGGCATGGTTGCAGAGCTTCAAAGGCCAGGGGGACAGTGCTAACCGAAGCAAGCTCTTCAAGAAGAGAACCTGAGAGCAGGCAGTGCCAATCACAAGGACAAACTTAGAGCACACACTAAGGACCAGAGGAGTCCAGAGGGCTCCTTTAGTGTGCTACTCAGCCTCCCAGGCCTCCCTTATCTGCTTACGAAGAGATCTGAGGGCCACAGAAGGTCTGTGACTTGCCTACGGCCACCCAATTAAGCTGTGAACAGTGCACACTAGAACACCAATCTTTGGGTCTCCGTTCACTCTTTTTTTCCTCTCAACTCAGTTGACCTTAAGTGTCTAATGAGGTCAGGAGATGCCCTGCAGACTCTAAGAAACATGACCCTCATGTCACTTAGGGAAAGAGCGGGCCCAGGAGATGTTATCCTGACCGCCTCCCCAGCTGCTGAATTCCTTCCTGGCTTGACATGGTCTTTCTATTCTCTCTCTCTCCAGCCCTTGCCGCAAAGTCTGTGAAAGTTCAGAGGTCAGTGAGAAGGTAGAGGTGGGTCTCCCTATCCTTAGAGCACTCTAAATAGGTGAGATAACCCTCAGCCGCCCCTCCCTCAGACTAGAGAAAGTTGGTGGGGGAAGGGTGTCAGGAAAAGATTGAACGACCCACTAGAAGTCCGACCTGTTTAGGCTGAGGTGCATCTGAGGCCATCCGAAGGTTTATGACAATTAACACAACAACATCTGCCTGTCAGGCTCGATCTGGTCAAAGACTGATGGCTGTCAGATCATCTCTGCATCAGGAGGAGGAAGTTCCTGACTCAGGAATAGTAAAAGACTCAAGGAATTAATTATTCAGTATGCATGACCCAGTTCAAGGAGTTGAGGCTGGGTGAGAACAGAGCTCACTCGTCCCTTATCATGAAGAGAAACTCAAATACTTCACGGGGCAGTGATCTCCTTGCTGCTAAAGAAGATCCATTTATGATTAAGTGGCCAAAACAAACAACAAAAAATGTTCACTCGCTCAACAAATTCTTAGTGAACAACTCTTATGTCTCAGTCCTCCAGGGTCTTGCATATGGTTTAGTAGAGGAGAGAGACTATGGAATTTTCCAACAGGAGGCCTGAGCTCAGCCCTTGAACAGCTATATTATCTTGGGTGGGTTCCAGCCTGTCTATGACAAATTCCTCAACTAGAAAATGGGAGTATATCCACCTGCCTGATCATGAAGATGTAATGATCTTTATAAAATGTGAAGCATAGCGTAAATGTGAGGTATAAACAATAATGATATAACATGACACACTTTCTCTACCCTAGAGAAGCATATAATCTGGTCATGTTTTGGAAAACAAGCCAAGGTACCTATTTGGCAAACATCACATTCTCTGTAATTTGGGCAGATTGTATGTTTCAACTTGCCAACGGAGACGGAGTCGGTGGTCAGTGCCAGTCTCCAGTCTGTGTGCCCAAGACATTGCAAGAAGGGCTGGAGTGAACACCAGGACTCACCAGGCCCTGTGTCAAACCTCCACTGAATGAATGAGCCAGGTTGAGATCCAAGGGGGGAAAGACAACAACCGGTCACACGGTCAATCAGAAACACAACCCAAAATTCATCTGCACACAATAGAAGTGAGCCAGCCAGAACCGCACACACGTCCTCCCCACGCACATTTCAGACAACACTGGAATTCACTGTTCACTGCTCGCCTCCTCTGTGGACGTCCCCGGCATGCTGCTTCTGCAGGGAAGGGGAGGGATTCTCAGGCTGCTGCAGACTGGCCAATCTGGGCCTCTTTGCCTGGGTCTTTCCCAGGCACTAAGAATCAGAACTGAGCAGCTTTCCCTGGGTCCCGTCAACCCCTTTTCATCCCGTCCTCAGGTAGGTTCTTGGCACCCACCAGCCAGCTCTGACTGCACAGACAGGCTCCCAGCTGACCTCAGGACCCTAGCCTTGGATTGGGCCCTCAGGTCTTTCCTCCTCCTCCTGCACCAAACAACTCTTGCCCCAGGCTCACAGTGGGGGATCCTCCTGGGGCAAGGGCCAGTTGTCTTCATCTCTGTGTCGCCTCCACTGAATTAAGGTACCTCAGAATGTCCTTTAAGCACTTTGCCCTACATGTAGAAATGCCCTGGAATGGCTGCATACAGGAGGCAGGCAGAAGAGGAGTGAGGAGGGTGCTGGAAGCCCAGGCCTGTATTCTGACACTCCACTTGACACCAGGTAGCTCTGCAACCTTGAGAAAGTCTGTTTAGGCAAAGCCTCTGTTTCCCTATTTGATAATGAGGGGTTTGCTCTAAATAACCCCTCCAATAAAGTTTGGCATTATAGAAACCAGACTAGCCTAGTACACGGAGGACATGAGACCTGGTCCACAATAGCCTACAATCTGGGGCAAGTTGTCAGGCCTCTCGATGCTTATCCTACATGTCAATCAAATAAGGGAGGCTAAGGCAACCATCTCTCCCAGGGTTCAAGGCTCTGTCAAGACAGCTACTGTGATAGAGCTTCATGGGCTGAAAATCCTGACCTAACTCAGTTCAGACTCCTTGGGTCAACAGAATAGCTGTTGACCACCTGCCCTGTGCTGTGGGTCTGTGCCTGTGGGGAGGGGCTCCTGCCTCAGATAGGAAGGTTGAGGATGGCTTCCTGCCCAGAGGCCCCTTCAGCTAGTGGGTAAGACTGCAAGTAAAGGTACGTTAATTCAGTGGTATACCTGAGGGTCAAAGCACTATGGCAGTGCTGAGGAGGAGGCACCAACCTGGCCTGGGGAGGGAGGGAAGCTCCTCAGAGGAGCAGCACGTCCCAGACATGGCAAGCTATTCCAGGATGGTGGGACTGGAGCCAGGACAGAGAGGAGAGGCAGAAAATGAGGCACAACAGTGAGCCTGAGGTCCAGCTGGAGGGGGCCACAGGAGAGATGGACAGATGTGACTCTGAGAGCGTCTCTGGCTGAACTACAGAGTGTGGCACAGAGGGAAGAGTATGTGGAGCCGGGAGGGCAACAGGAAGGCCCTTCCAGACACCAGAAGCCACAGAAAGCTATAAACAGGTCTGTTCTCAGAGTGGAGCCCAGGTGGATAAAGATGCCGTGAATGTGGATGTCTTGTGGTCCAGGATGCTCAAAGTCATTCCCTAGAGGCCACCTGGCCAATGCCTCTCTTGCCCAGACCTGGGCAGATAAGCCCCCTCCGAGAGCCAGCCTGGGGTCTGAAGGGCCACACTGCTGGCGTTGGTTCCGGGAGGCCCAGCCACGCACTGCCCAGTTAGATGGGTCTCTCACCTCCTGGAACGAATGTCAGCCTCAGCCTGCCCCCTCTGACAGCTGGGGAGGCTGTGCAGCCCTGGAGTCTTGGACCAGGACAAAGGGCTGAGGAGGGATCCAAGGTTTCACCAACCACTGCTTCTTCAGTGGGTCACATGACTATAATTTGAGAGCCCCATACTTCCCTAAGCCTGAAACTAGATCCCCCAGGAGAGACTCAATGTGTAAGAGAGACCCCACTGTGACTTACTTGGTTCTCAGGCATCACAAGGGCTAAAGACTTCTCCTTTGGGGGCAAGCCCCATACAGGTTGCCATGTTCCTTTAAAAAAAAAAAAAAAAGAACCCAACAATTAATGTCAGCCTCGTGATCTGACATCATAGCCTCCTATCTTCTCCCCTTCAAGAGTTTGCACATGGCTCTGATCATAGCTGAGTCTCCTAATAAATTATTATTCTGTGCATTTTTTTTCCTCTTAGCAACACTTTAGCCAGCAAGAGGAAATGGACAGATAACCTCTGTCTGTGCCCCAGGTTTGGCGTGTGAAGAAAGACTGCGAAGCAGGTCCTACCATCTGCCTGTTGGCTGTGCACTCTAAGGCTTTACCCTATGTCTAAACAAAGACTCTGCTCAAATAAAAACAGAGAGTGCCAGGATTTCTAAGGTTGAGGCAGAATGGAAATAAATAAAACTGGTGCAAAACTTGATCACAGGTCACCAATGTGAAAAGTGTCACATTGCCTCTAGTGGAAAGGTCCAAAATGCTCAAAACCTAGGAAGCTACAGAAGTGGGCCATCTGATCATGACTGTATTCTTTTGGCTTACAGGGGCTACCCACGTTACTTGGTTACCGCCTACTGCTGTTGCAAAAAATGTCTCTACATCTATTTGGAAAAGGAGGCCCAGAGTTACAAAATATTTCTAATGATTTACATTCACATTAAAAAAATAAATAAAATCCTAATGTCTAAGAGGAAGACTCAAGAGAACAAAACCTAATACAGATGTGAAATTTGAGCTTTAAAAGGGGCAATATCCACACTCTGGGGAAGCACACACACTCTGCTCAGAGAGCAGCTGGGCTGCTTGTCCACTACACACATTCACACACACACACACACACACACACACACACACACACAGAGCCATGTGGGAGTCCCAAACCTCCAGACCTTTAATGGGACAGAACCCACTATTTGCTGAGCACTTCTAGGTCTAGCGTGCATCATCTCAGTGGCTCCTCACAGACAAGGAACAGAGGCCTAAGGAGTGATGGTCCTTGCCAAGGTCACCCAGCATGGTAGGATTTGCACCCAGGCCTGACTGACACAGGGCTCAGGGTCCTTGCCCCCAAGCTGAGGTGTCCTGGCTGTGAATGGCTATTGCTACTGTGAGCCTGGTGAGCTCCCAGAGCAGTCACTCGGGCAGGAGCTACAGTCCTGCCCACCATCATCACCATTACCAAGCCCACACCCCTCGGGGCCTGTGCCGGCGGACGAACAGGCTGGCCTGCCTTGGCCACATTCTATCAGCATGAGCTATAGGCTCCGTGCTGTTGTCTCAAGCCACAAGTCAGAGCGGCTGGAGGCCTTAACTTATCTGTCTCTACTTCTCACAGGAAGACTCCAGGAGCTGTGAGAGGCAGAGCTGGACACCGTGACACAGAATTCAAGAAACTAGTGATGGCCTCCTGCTCCCTAGATCTCAGGGACAGAGTTCCTGGGTACCCAGTGATATGATTGAGGCCAGTTGGGAGACAAGAAGCTCTCTAAGGTTGGGTGGTCTTCCTGAGGGAATGGAAGTGGGCACATCCAGGCCAGGTCACAGGGCTGACCATTGGTTGGATTCCTACAAAGGCCTGAACACACTGATGCAGACATTAAGGTGCCAACTAACGCACACCCTCTATGGACCAGTAGCCAACATGCTTGCACCCCCTGAAACTGCACTAAACCAGACAGTCCCAGCACCCAGCACCTCCCAGGGCCTATTTCTTTATCTATGAGTAGCTGGACATAATTGGTGACTTCCTCACCCAGGACCCCTTTCAGCTGCCCCATTCCATGGACCCTGACTTTTAGAGACACCTAAGGAACCACCTAGTGGTTAAAGGCTGTGGGGGAGTCACCTGTGCTGGCTTTTCGTGGGGCGGTGACCTTGTGCTGCCTCAGCGAATCCTCCCAGCAGCCCTGGCAGGAGGTGGTGTAGTATTCCACAAGAGGACACTGAGGCGCGGCCCACAGTCCCCACCAGCACCACCCACAGCAGCCCTGAGACTCTCTCCTGAGCCCACCCCATGCTTGTTCCTGACCCAGAGCCTCCTTCCATCATCAATGAGAATGGAGAAAGCCTGTCTCCCGTGGCTTGCCATCCTGCCAGATCTAAGCCAAAAGGCATAAGGTCTCCAGTCCCTTGTGGGTCTGTTTTGATCCTGAAAAGACTTCCTGTGAGTCTAAGTGACCTCAAGGTCCCAAGGAACACGAGAATCCCAAAGGAGGGGAGCTCAGGGGATCCTTCCTCTCTGACGTTCTCCCCACCTTGAAACCAGGAGTCCCTTGAAACCAGGAGTCCCGACTAACAACAGCACGGCTTTGTCACCACCAGATCCCACCAAGGGGAAAAGCCAGCTGTCCACCCCCAGAGAGACCCAGGCAGCCAGGGCCGAGCAAACATGTACAGTGCGGTGGCTGCAAACTGGAGCAGGGGAGGCTGCTCCCGGCCTCTGGACCCTGCCCTCCCTGCATGCACCTCAAGCTGAAACCAAATAGAAGCAGCCTGGTCCTGTGGTCCCTGTGGTCCCTGGTGGGGACCTGGGCTCCTTTGCCATGAATGTTAGCAAAGGAGAAGAGGAAAAAGAAAAAAAGCTGGAGCTGATTTTCATTGACTTCAAAGTGGTGCAGAAAATGTATTGAATACAACTCTCTCTAGAGGGAGATTACGGGGGGGAAAGATGGAGGAAGGGGAAGGGAGAGCAACTGCCCTTAGGAGGGCTTCAGTGTCCCAGGTGCTGGGGGTCAGGCTCTTGCCTCTGTATGGTCTCAGCCAGCCTCAGCACAATGCACACACCTGGGTGATCATTCAGACCATTCCCAGGTGAAGAAATTGAGGCTTAGAGAAAGAAAGAACTAACTGGCAAGGTCACACTGCTAATGCCTCATGCCCCTTCTTCCCAAAGCACTGGCTTCACTTTGACCCTAGAGCCTGGGGTCTCCTCCTCTTGTGGTCATTTCTGCTGTCATGGGGGATGGTGATGTCCTGCTGCTCCCTCACCCCTGACCGCCCATCAGAGGAAGGGGCTGCCTGAGGGCAGACAGGACAGGAACATCCTTGGGCAGGTTTCCTCCCCTGGACCTCATTCTGTTTAATCTCAAAGAGCTCCATTGTGACATTATCGAGAAAGCATCTGTTGGTGAGTTTTAGCCAGTATGTGCCCACTGGAATCCCATGGGGAGTGTGGTTTTTCTGACACTGACCTCACAGGTAGGACTGCAGTCTTTGTCACATCACACTGTGCTAAACAAGGTTCTCTCTGCTTTATCTCATGGCCTTGCCACCGTCTAGGTCAGGGCCACAGAGAACCTATTTCTGTATACCCAGGCCTTCTCATGTTTGTTAGAAGACAGGAAAAGAAATTCCATCTTCAGATGTATTTTTAAAAGGTTTTAGAAAAAAAATAGAATCCTGGCCTGGTAGCAAAAACTAAGAAGCCGACCCCACTGACCTCCCACCCTGCTGTAGCATCTCCCAGGCCCCACACAGCCCTGTACCACCGTCCGCACCAGTAGCCCAGGCAACCTGTGAGCAAGGCCTCCCCAGACAAGGCTTCAGCTCGCTCAAAAGGGGACGCTGCCAGCTTCCAACATGTGCAGGAGAACTAAACTGGAGGCCATGATCTGGAATGATCTAGAAATCCTCCTGACCACAATAATGTCAAGAGGAGCAGCTCTTGGCAGGGCCTGGGTTGTGCCTGTTGGTGTGGGGATTGTCAGAAAGCATTTCGAGAGGGCCTTGTCTGCTGACCCCCACAGGACACACCCCAGCCAGCACCCCCTGGCAGCTGAGAGCCTTTCTTTGCTTTCTAGCAGCTCCTTACAGGGACTAGTGGCCACAGGGATTATATAGGCAGGTGCTTCCCCTTCCTTCCTTCCCTCCCTCCCTTTCTTCCTTCCTTCCATCCTTTCTTTCTCTTTTTGGTAGCTTTATTCTCTGATTCTTAAAAAATAAAAGGAACTGGCAGGCTTTCCCATTGGAGTGTGGCCCTGTTGGCTCCCACTGGCTAGGTGTGAGGTGGCACCCAGGGTGGTGCTTCCTGGGATTAGAATAGCACACTGCAGGGCTCCACAGGCAACTGGACCAGCCAGAATCCTTAAAGGGAATGGAAAGCTCATGGGGTCCCCTCTCCTGCCCCCACCCAATCTGCTTTTCCTTGATCTATCCAGAAAAGATTATTCAATAAGCATTTGCTCTGTGCCTGGCAGAGACTATGGGGAATGCAAAAAAGCATGGGAAACAGGGACCACAGACTCAGGACATAGAGGCAGAAGGATGATGGCTAACCTGGACTCAGCACCTGAACTTTGCGCCTGCCATCATGAGACCTGGGGCAAGTCACTTCCACTCTGAGCTCATTTGCATCCCTTTGGGGGATGTCTGCTTAGAAGCTAGGGTGAGCATTCAATAAGATCCTACACATCCAAGAACAGTCAAAACTGCCATATGCAGCCATTTACCGTGAGCCTAGAACTGTGTGCAAAGCAATTTTTCCAATTCCCTTGTGAGGGAGACATCACAGCCTCGATATGGAAACAGACTGAGGAAACTAAAGCACCTGCCCAAAGTTGCACAGCTCCTGAAGTAGCAGAGCTACAACATGTACCTGGCCCAGGTGGGCTCCAATGTCCCAGCCTTGACCCTGCTGCCTAGCACTCTATAGGAAGCAAAGAGGGTGCAGGAAAGAATGCCCAGGAAGCTGGGACATGTGAACCGGGGGCTGTTGGCTCTGCATCCAGGAGGCAGATGGAGAAAGCAGAGTGAGCTTTGGCAGAGAGAGTTGAGGAAGCCTTTGTGAAGTAGGTAGAGCTGGCTCCAAGCGGAGAAGGAGGAGGAGGAAGAGGAGGAAGAGGAAGAGGAGGAGGAGGAGGAAAAGGAGAGGAAGAGAAGGAGGAGAGGAGGGGAGGAGGGAGGGAAAACGCAGCTGAGACAAGCACAGAGCTGGGGCAGGGATGAGCCCCTTGGTCAGGCAGAGGACAAGAGTGAGAATTGCCAGGTTGGAGGGTGAATAAGGAAAGGGCTGCCTGAGCTATTCTTTTGGAGCCTTTCA